TTCATCTAATTAGGGTCGCTACTATAGTGAAACAGGCGAAGCAGCACAGGAGTTAGGATTGTAGAGGCTATAGGGTTTGGGGTTTGGGTTTTCGGTGTTTGGGGTGATTTTGAAGTCGTTTCCGCCCGCTTGTCCGCAGCCTCAGCCGAATATCCAAACATGAAACCCACCCTGAAACCTAACCTACGCCCCTGACCCTAAACCCTAATCCAGTAGGGGCTGTATCTGTTCTTCTACGACCGAGGAGCCCAAACCCCAGAGGGCAAGTTGCTGATGAAGGTATGTTAGTAACGGTAGGTTTGGGGTTTAGGGTTTAGGGCTTGAAGATGTTTTCTCGAGGGCTTGGGATTTACATCCTGAAGTGGTTGAGGTTTAGGGCTGAGGGCTTTCAAGGGTGTAAGGACTCTGTGTAGTTGCTTTTCAGTATGGAGTCTCGATGGCATCCTTCCCGTGATCTTTGACCTAAACCCTTATAAACCCTAAACCCTAAACCCTCAACTGTATATCATCGTCTATTCCCTGAGACCTGGTCGTAGTCAGCAAGCCGCCCCCCCACCCCCAAAGCATGTGTTCCGATCCTCTGGCTGCTATCGCTCAATCATTAGACAAAGGTTCCGGGGGACATTCTACTAGAATTAGGACAAAGAGCCCTTCAAGCAATAATGTTGCGTTGTGCCGGGGATTTAGAACAGCTATCTTGCGGAACGCCGACTAGTTTACCTTTTGGAGACCAAGATTGCAAGCTTGCTTGCAATCTTGCTGCCCTCCGCCCTTGCCCCACTTGCTCGCCGATTATTAGTTTGCTTTTGGGAGACCAAGATTGCAAGATTGCTTGGCAATCTTGGTCGCAATCTTGGTCTGCAAGGAAACTAGTCGGAGTCGGCGAGACCAAGATTGCAAGATTGCATGGCAATCTTGCCCAAATAATCGTGCTAAATTCCCGGCACACTGTAACCTTGGCAATTCGTCCGGCTTCTATATTAGTTAATGCTATTCGTTTCCGGATTTGTGGATTCAGGAGCATAAGCTTTGGATGGTGCTTGAGCGCATAGAGCACTACTTTCGAAACTGCACGTTCCATACCCTAAACCCTAAACCCTAAACCCGACCAACTAATCAAACCTCAAGGTGTCCATGATGTTTCCCATGTTCGAGCTGGTGATGTTCGTCTCGGCGCACCAGCCCCAGACGTTGATTTTGAATTTCAGGGCTATGTCTTAGTTTTCGACGGAACTACGGTTGATGCTATAAATCCTGCATTGCCCATAATAAAGAACATACCGTCATTCCCATAGTTTAAGGTCCTTCAGGTAGTGCAGGATTTATATCATCAGCCGTAGGAAGGGGTAGAACTCGGGATCTGGGATTTTCCGGAGTTCGTCTTTGCAGGCCTCGTCAATCCTGGTGACCTTTCTTGCTGCTTCAGTGAGATGGTGCTTGCTTTGGGCTTGAGCGGCTGAGCAAGCCCAGAGAGCCCAATTTCAATACCCCTGAATTAAGGGATATACCTTAAATTGTAGGGCCCTTAATATTATGATTTCAGGTATATTCCTTAATTAAGGGGTATTAGGTTCTCTAGGAGGAAGGGTCTTGAAGGTTGGCAAACGTGGGGTTGGTTGAAGGCTCGTGGTTTGAAGCTCAGGGTTCAGGGGGCCCAGAGAACCCAAGATCCCTTAATTAAGGAATATACCTTAAACCATAGTATTAAGGCCCTTATAATTTAAGGTATATTCCTTAATTAAGGGGTATTGGGTTTTGTGGGGGTGAGTTCAGCCCCCCTCTTTGGCATGGGGGAGGTGCGATCGCCGGGGGCCGAGATGTGGCATGCATGGTTTGCGCTCACGTCCCATGTTGCCTATCCGAGCCGTGTGGACACTTCCTCCATAAACCGCGACCGCGATTCATGATAGGTTCCAACACTTTTGGAATTCGAAATCTTGCATTTCGTCGTACTTTCCTGGCGTTCTCCTGGGCGTCTCCTGGTGGTCGTGGTGGTCCCGTTTCTCGTGATCGCCCTGGTCGTCGAGGTGCTGTATCACTGTTCGGAGATCTACGCTTGCATAACCTGTCCACAAGTTGCGTGACGGGGTGATGGAAGACCTGCGCCCAGAATGAGCTCTGCTTTCTGTTCGATATATACTGGACACCGCTAGGAAAGAGTCGGTTGACGGGTTGCAGTTGACGGTGTTGGGGCTTCCGCTTTGGGGCATTCCGAAGTTAGTTTATAGGGTCTAAGCATGTCAGGCAGCAGTGCAAGCCTTGGGGTTTCGAGAGGAGGTCTTTCTAGCTCGTCCCACTAAGAGAAACAGGTATGCAGTGACACTGCCCACGTTCTGAAGTTCTAAGCTTGAACCATCAAATCATCCTCCTATAACATCGCGGCGACTTCACCTCCTTGTCCCATTTCCGGGCCGACGTCCTCAGCCGCAAGTCTTCTTGAGGTATATGCCACACATAGTCGCGTGCATGATTGTGCTTGCAACAATGGTGCGCAAGCCTTTCAGAGTGTGTGTGGCAGCCTCAGCATAGCTGGAGTGTGCTTTGAGGTTGAGCTTTTCAGGGTTTGATATTTGGGCACAGAATCTTCGCATTCAGAGCCCAGTCTGACTTGTGTAAATGTACTTAGCAACCTGGCAGATCGTGCGCATTGAGGATACAACAGGGTAGTGAGAAACCTGTTTGCTTCAGACTTTTTTTCGGGGGTCTTCTCAGAGACACGACAACCCCTCAATTAATCATTCTTTTGTAAAGTATACAGTGATCCTACGTGCCCCAATGACTTCAGGCAGTATAGGGTTCGAAACAATTAGTATTTGTACCCCTGGCATCCATGTAGTTATCCTATAACTGACCCAAAATTCCTCATCTACAGGCAAGTCTACCATATCGTATAGAAAACTCTATACATCCCTCCGCCAAGCCTCTAACACCCTCGCCCACCTATTCAGGCCTCTGTCTTCCTTAACGAAGAGATTGTGTTCTGGAGTCTCGGGGTAGCTTCTTTCGATCACCCCTCAGCCCCTTCAGTTCCGTTAGTTTGAGCTTCAGGCGAATTCCCTAAACCATAAACCCTAAACCCTTATAAACCCTAAACACTTACAAAGCCTAAACCCTAAACCCTTATAAACCCTCCTAAACCCTCAGACACCCTAAACCCTAAACAGGTACCCCAAGGGTGCCAAAAGAAAAACGACTAGGGGGGATCCATGAGGGTTCTAGAAGGGCTCTATGCTGTTGATGATATAAATCCTTAGCATTACCTTAAGAGTTTAGGGTTTATAAGGGTTTAGGGCCTCAGGGTTTATATGGGTTTAGGGTTTAGGGCCTTAGGGTTTATAAGGGTTTAGGGTTTAGGGTATTCAGGACCCTAAGCTATGGGAATTATTGTATATTCCTTACTATGGGTAGTGCAGGATTTACATCATCAACCGTAGGGGCACTCGTTTCGCAAGCGGTCTTAGAGGGATCTTAAGCGTCCAAAAGGATTAAATGGCTACTTAACAGGTATTTCGACCCTTGCAGGTAGGGCTCGGGCTTCGGGCCTCGGATGTCATGCTACCCAGAGAACCCAACACCCCTTAATTAAGGAATATACCTGAAGTTAAAGGGACCTTAATCTTATGATTTAAGTTGTATATTCCTTAATTAAGAGGTCTTGGGTTCTCTGGGTAAGTTTCGGGCGTGGGGTTCAGGGTCTGCAGGTTCAGTTTCCAAGACACACACTCAGATGCAGAACAGCGTTGCCTCAGGATCTTAGATGGGGGCAGCGTGCATAAGCTCTCGCACGACAGGCCATGTACGCAGGATTGCCACTACACCCTTTCAGCCTCAAAAGCCTCAAGTACATCTCCACAACAGGCCTTGTATTCTACCTTAGCAAGCGGTCATAACCCATTTTAACATAGGGCTCTGAAGGGGAAGTGTAGTCCGGATAAGATAACCTAAACCCAAAACCTTAAACCCTAAACCCTAAACCCTGGTCCGGATGAAGTTTGAACCCTCAGCAGTTTCATGTTCAGGGTTCCTCGCTCCAGGTCCTGGTTGTGCCGGTGCTAGTGCTCGGCGCCCGGTGTTCCGGGTTGACAATTTAACGGCTTAGGGCTCGCGGCTATGATTTCAGAGCCCTTTTTTATGTAAGATATATAACTCTAAGCCCTAGACTGGATTTAGGTCCCGGACCCCCGAATCCCATGGGGAGGAAGGGGGACTTTGTGGACCTCCGGGCTTTGGCTTCTCGCAGAAGAACAACTTGGCGTTGGGGTTGAGAGTTTCGAGGCCTATCAGGTTTGCGGATTTGGGTCTAGCTTCCTGGGTTTGGGATTCAGGCTTTGAGGTGTTTATCGCCCAAGCACTTCGACCCACTTCTGGGTTTTTTACCATCCTCAGAGCCTCACAGAAGGCACAAAGCAGAGAGAAACAGATTGCCCGAGGTTTCTCTCCCTGTGCGCCTTTGCTGTCCTCGAATCTCGATGGGATGCGGAGGCCGCCATCCCCAAGAGAGCTGACGTTGGAGTGTATGTTAAGGGAATGTGTGTAGCGGGGCATACTGCGGGGCTTCTTCAGCCGACAGCTCTGGCACTGGTAATTAGGGGTTCGGCGCCGGTGCTTCCGTCCGGGGGGCTGGGCTGGAGGACTGGGTCGCCTTGCACCATCGAGGTGGAGGCTTTAGGGACTAGGGCTAGGGGTTTTGGAGTTCCTTCTGTCCAGTGCAGGGAAAGAGTCCGGGGCACCGGAACATGCATGTTAGCAGCCTAGGGGCGTCAGTGTCTTCGGGCCCCCAGTTCGGATGAACCAGAATCCAAGCTCGGAAACCCTAAATCACCTTAAACCCTAAACCGTAGACCTAAATCCCTATACCTCCCAGTTGATCCCTGGCCTACCACCAGAAACTTATAAAGACCTCTCCTGTCTCCTGACACTGATAAATCGAACCTCCAAGAATCAGCAATCTCATCCCGACACCGTACAATACAACCTGCTCACTTCCATGGCAATGGCAGGCCGAAGGATACGATCTCAGCCAGCCGTCCTTGCGGGAAGCGCTGGAGGACATTGCGCGACATGAGATACCTGCCATGCATCTTCGTACTAGCCGTTTGCCACCACAGGGACCCTATGTAATCCATGCCCCCGGGAGCAAAATACGTTGCGATTCTGGCATGCACCCCAGCAAAAAAATCTATATGCTTTCCCACTGGGTTTGGGGTCTAGGTTTTATAACCGTTAAACTAGGGTTTAGAAGAAGGACACAAGCATCCTATATAAATCTGGTGATGCCAAAAAACTAAACCCCAAACCTTTTTTGGGGGGGTCCTCCATTCCAACTTCGGAAACCTCCGAGATCCGATGCTTCCAGCCCTAAAACGAGATGCCTGAAAAAAAACAGAATAGGCTTCTGTGTTCTTTTGTTTTGGGGGTTTAGGGGTTAAGGGCTTAGAGCTGAATAAGCAGAACAGGCTTCCAGGGTGTGTTTAGGGGTTAAGGGCTTAGGGCTGTATTCGCAGAATTATCAGACGAGGCCTCTAGGGTGTATTTAGGGGTTTAGGGGTTAAGGGCTTAGGGTTACTATGCTGTGAGTTTAATGGTAAGGGCCCTCAGGAAAGAGTACTACTTACGAAGACCCCTATATGGTATCTTACCCTCCTACCTGTGACGCCAAACCCTACAAAATAGTAGGTTATGACCCCCTTAATTAGAGGGTAGAACCCTGAAGACAGTAGGTTTTTGGATCCCCAGGTAAACCCTAAACTCTAAAGCCTGAACCCTGTATCTTACCCCCGGAACGGATTAGCACTGCAAGGTTTCTGGTGCAGGCTTTAGGGAAGGTTTTGGATTTAGGGTTTAGGGCTGGCGGTTTCGCCCACGGCGGAGGAAGGCGTGACAGGTTTGAGAGCTTCGGGTCTTCTTGTTGCTCCACGGTTGATAACTTTTAGAGTGTGATATATTACATTATCTTGATGTTATCATCATTGCTCTAGCATTCTTACTGTTAGGACTCTTCTTAAAAGTATTACTGTTATTCGACCTGCCCTGCATCAAGCGGATTGAGGTGCCATTGCTCGGTTATTCGCAGTACTCCGGTTGATGGTATAAATCATGCATTACCCATAATAAGGATTATACGTTAATTCCCATAGTTTACGGTCCTTAAGGTACTGCAGGATTTATATCATCAACAGTAGTACTTCGAATAACCACTATATGAGCTTGAACCATTAGTAAGAGTGTTGAAGTACATTGTGCTACTTACCATAGTTATGCAGGGACTTTATTGTTATTTTGTCATCAAGTCGACTGTTGGAACCAACACCCTGTATAGTATCAGCAATATCTTTTCTATTGATTCTATTCTCATAACTGGTTAGTACAGATTAGTACTATCAGTCTATTCTTGTTGTAACGATCAAAAATAGCCCCTATGGTCCTCAATATGACTGCTCACCGAAGCCTGGATGCTCTCTAAAAGTTCTGAAGCCCCCCATATGTTATGCCTTAGGTACAAAGATGTGCGAAGCTTAGGGTGAGAGTTCAAGGGTGTTTGGGTGTAGTGACTTCAGGGTTTAGGGCTAAGTCTTCGGTTTCATTAGTTGCAGCACAGTACAAGCCCAACGGGTCACTGGACGCATCACATTCATCTGGGGCCCTATAGAGACCTATGGAAACTAGTGGCGTAACATTGTGCGGAGCTCTTCGGTAAGAGTATGATTCTCTTGCGTATGGGTCAAGCTATCACAAGAAATGGCCTGCATTATTCAAGGCTAGCGTGTTTGCTCATGGGTGTCTTTTCCAGAAAGGCGGTAGCACTCCAAAGATTTAGACTAGGGACCCTCGTTGAAAATGGTGCCATTGCAAACACAGTGTTGTTGGGGTCCCCTAGGGCATCACGGTTGGAGGGTTTGGTTCTCAGGGTGTAGGGTTTAAAGCTATACACTGCAGTGTACCCGAGACCACTACATCCTAAACCCTAAACCCCAAACCCTAAGCCCTAAGCCCTAAAGCTGTCCTTAAAGGAAGCCAGTGGCTTACCCTAAACCCTACATGAACCCCGGACCGTGGAGGATTACATCTCCACAGGGAAAGGAGACCTGCATGAAATCTTGGAAGGTGCGCCCCCTGGGGGGTTGCGGCCAGGACCCCTTCTCCCCCGATCCCTACAGGGTTTAGGGTTTAGGGTTTAGGAGAGTCCAGGGGATATAGCAAGCAATAGGGCACTGACGGCGACTGGAAGCAGCAGACCTTTCAAGAGAGCAGGCCTCCAACTGCTGTTCAGTTTCTACCCATAGGCCCCTAAGAAGTTCCTTTTGGGGATTACCTTAGTAGGATTCTAAATATATACCATAAAAAGGAACTACCTAGGGGCCTATGGGTACACCTTGAGCTGTGAAGATCATACTAGCAATGGCCAAAAGTCTGGAGATGGCCCCAGCAAGTCATAGAAACGTCTTCGAGAGTAGCCTTCTCACGATAGGACTAAGTATGCTGTTCAGACATCCGGAGTACGACCTTACTTGTTCTAACCCTTCTCCGTCCCCCTATCAGAACAGCGGGAGTTCGGGCTACTTGTGTCATTCAGAGGTTTGAATAGCTTGTAAGAGGTACGCCGGTGAATGCCCACACCGTAAAAAACCCTGTTCATAGCCTCAGCCCTCCCGAGTCCATGATGTCTGGAGCTTTGATGAAGCCTGTATGTCCAATATGTCTCGAGGCCCTGGAATTTCGGGGTTTGAGGTTTTAGGGGTTTAGGGGTTTAGGGGTTTAGGGGTTTAGGGTTCAGGGTTTAGGGGTTTGGGGTTTTAGGGCTTTAGGGGTTTAGGGGTTTAGGGGTTTAGGGGTTTAGGGTTTGGGGTTTAGGGGTATTTAGGGGTTTTCGTTCAGGGTCTGCCTCAAATCCTGAGTCCAAGCTGAGAGTGCCACAGCCCCTCCAACCTGTAGATGGTATGGAAAACGCCGATCCATAGATTAGGTCATAGGGTAGAGACTTAGACACCTCGCACGAATTCGATGTAAGGATCTCGTGGCGAGTCTGGGGCCAAGTAGAAGATTGAACAACTACCCCCCTTAAGCCGGAGCTTCCTAAACTCTCATGAAAAAATTTCCCAATTAGACCCCAAAGCCGAAAATCCCTAAACCCATTCCCTCGGTCGACAGGCAAGAAGTACCCACCAGTCTTCGGTAAGACGGAGCTCCAGCGGTACCTCCGCACCTGGTTGGGCAAAAGCGCCACTTGGGCTCAACCCAAGCTGTGTCGTAAGGCTTCACTTCAGGTCTTGAACGTTTAAAGTTTAGGGTTTAGGGTTTTAAGGTTTACAGGTCCAAGGGTCCCACTAATCCCAACCCCTGAACCCTAAACCCCAAACTTGGGGTCTATAGAGTCTATATCCCTAAGGGCCCCCCCTAGGCCCTAACTCCCAAGTTGTGCGCATAGGATTTGGGGGCTGATGCGAGGCAGTGAGGGCTCGCCGTGTAGATGCATCCGGGGGTCTCGGTACTGGGGCATATAATCCCTGAATTAAGGATTGTACCTTAAACCATAATATGAAGGCCTCTTTAGTTCAAGGTATATTCCTTCATTGAGGGGTATGTGGGTAGTTCTCTAAATCAGGGTCCCTTTTGCGGGTCGTTTTTAATATAAGGGTGCCGCACTATGTTTGGGAACCAAAATAAAAAGGGACCCTGATTTAGAGAGTTACGCATATGGGTTATGGGTTCAGGACCGGGGACATAGAAATGAGACTCGAAAGCCCAGCTACAACCCAGTGTGCTAAGGCTCTCAGTTCTCCGGATCTAGTGGTAATGAGGTAGTGGTTTAAGGTTTGAGGTTCAGGGTTTTCGGGTTTAGGGTATTAGGGTTTAGCGTTTATGCTTTAAGGTTCGAGGTTCAGGCATTAGGGTTCTGATCCTCGGGATTTCTTGCAAGCCTCTCAGCACCCCCCCTGCTTGGAGGATCAGGGGACTGAGTAAGTAGGTGTATTATCAGGTGCCTTCATTAGGGTTGTAAGTGGATATAACACTAGTTACCCTACCAAAAAAACCCTACTCACTACCAGGGGTCCTCTGACCGAAGTTTCGTAGCCTGAGTCGTCCAGCTGGGCCTCGAAGGTGTTCCATGATACCGACCAGGACGCTGACTACCTCCCAGAGGCATGGTTCCGGGTACCGAAAATTTTGGAATGTGGCCTCTACCCCCTGTTGCCTATTCTTGTTATCAGGGCCGTTGTCTCGTGTGGATCCGTGCCATCTCCGCCAGGTAAGCTTGTCCCTAATTAATAATTCATCGAAGCCCATGTTCCAGAGCAGCCAAGCAACAGGTCGATGCTCTAAAGACTCATGTTCTAAGGAGACCATAATATGTAGGGCTTTTGTGCTATTTTGAGCCGGGTTCCTTGTTACGACTTATATGTTTGCAGAAACGGTTGGTTTTGTGGGGGTGCAGGTAGAGTCGAGTTGAACGCTTGTCGGACTACTGCCTTACAGCAGCACATCGGAAATACCCCATGAGGTCCTTTTGACGCCCGGATTTCTATCTGAACATCTGAACGCGAACCCAGTGTGCTAACACTCGTCAGTTGTGGGGTACAACGGGTACGACCGCCGTCATACATGAGAGCACAGCCACATAACGAGCCCAGCCAAAAATTGACCGGACACGAATATTCGTCCGCAGCCCAACATCCTGATTCTAGTTATGAAGCATCCTTCACGGCTCACGTGTAGTTAAAGTTAAAGGTGTACATGTATCATGTTGTTGTTGTTGTTGTTCTTCTTCTTCTTATAGTATTAGTGATGATTAGTGCTTAGGGAAAGTCAAAAATTGGGTACATGCAGGTTATACATGCGAAAATAGACGTGACCAAGTAGGAGTTTCGCATGAAAAGGACCCAGATCTAGGCCGACCCGAAACCTTGAAGGCCCTAAGCCCCAAACCCTAAGCCCTAAGCTCTAAACCCTAAACCCTAAAGGCCCTAAGCCCTAAACCCTAAACCCTAGGGGCCCTAAGCCCTAACCCGACCCTGGGAGGCCTACAACAAGGGCGACGACTGGTTCGAGGCGACCCTGGCGGAACCGATGGTCTATACCGGGGCGATCTACGCAGGCGCGAGGGTTCAGGGCCTCCGTGGTCTTTAGGGTTTAGGGGTTGGGGGGTTTAGGGCTTAGGGAGACCACCCATGCAACCGTCCATTCTGTTAGGGTTTAGGGGTTCAGGGTTTAGGGTTCAGGGTTCAGGGTTTTAAGTGGAGCTGTCAGCAAGGTAACCGCAATAGGGGTACGCGTAACCCTGGTGATATACAAAGAATAACCCTAAGGTGAAAGTCCCATATCCTCCCAGTAGGGGTTTAGGAGTTTTTGTGTGGAGTGTCTCAATGGAACAGTAGGATCCTTCTGTGCTGTATGGTGTACTCTGCATTCTATGCGTCGAAGTCGTACAGAAGACTTGGCTATGGAGTCCTTTAAACGGTCCTACATGGGTGCCTGCGGACTTACATGCATACATGCATGCAGACATAGATACCTGTATGTACACATGTGCAGTTTTCAGGCACATACCTCCACATGTGCATGCGTACGTTGAAGCACATATACATACGTGACATACATCAATACATGCATACATTGGTGCACAATGTCGTGCATGCAAAAAGGTTCTACAAAAGCATGCACGCGTACATACATACACACATATGCATCAGCACGTGCCTGGCAACTGGATGTTTGCAAGTAGGTACGCCTGGCGCAAGTGAGGAATGTGCAAGGGACCTTGATCGGGGGCAACAGCGTAGGTTATAAGTGAGAAATGGTCATATTCCTCATGGGCTCACGCTCGCTAGCTCCTCTGAGTAAGGCGACATAAAGAGTTTGTTGGTATAGGTATTACTCGTATCGGGCTTGGGACGACAAAATCACATAACAGTATGCCGTTTTGTAGAAAGCATATAGCATGTTACTAGACCTTACATCGCATTGTATGACAAGACCATTCAGGGGTTTAGAGTTTAGGGGTTAGGGACCCCCTAAACCTAAACCCTAAACCCTAAACCCTAACCCTAAACCCTGAACCCTAAACCCTGAACCTAAATTTCGGGTGCAAGCCCGGAGAGCCGCCTCGGAGCCAGGCAAAGAGGAAACGATCTGGTCCGCTCAGCACAAGAAGCAGCTTGCTTGAAGGATCAGGGGGCTTTAGGCTTTAGGGGTTTAGGGTTTAGGGGTTAGGGGTTTAGGGGTTTAGGCGTTTAGGGGTTTAGGGTTCTGCTTGCTTGAACTCCCTGGTTCTTAGTAGGGAATGGGGGAACGGAGCCCTATGGTAGTCCCTTAGGGTCCCCTTTCGTGGTCCCAATAACCCATTCTCCCATTCCCTACTAAGAAGCTGCTTGCTGGAAGAATCAGGGGCCCTGAAAGCCTCGGAGGTTAGGGGGCCTTAGGGGCTTTAGGGGTTTAGGGTTTAGGGGTTTAGGGGCTTAGGGGCTTTAGGGTTGTAGGAATCTTTTAGAGTTCTGTAAGGGTTCTACAAGGGTTTAATATGGGCCTTTTAGAGGATCAGGGGACTTGATGAGTAGGGTTGTAAGTCAGGTGACTTGTAACCCGAATTATGGTACTTTTAGCCCTACTTACTAAGTCTCCTGAACCTCTAACTGTCCCAGCAAGATTCGCAGGTTGAGACGTTTAGATTTTTGGCGTTGTGGCTCCGAGTGTTTAGCGTTCAGGCTGCATCGACTTCTACGTCCCATCATCATAACGGGAACAACGGTCCAGGAAAGTACAAATACAAGGCCAACCATAAGACATCATCATGAATTATGGTGTTTATGTGTTCGACGCCTAGCTTTTATTTTGACTGGCTGGACGAGCACTGTGAAAATGCAGGTGTGAGGATTGAGGAGTCGTTTGAAGACCCTGACAATAGCCAGACCGTAGCAAGGGTACAGCTTTGAATACTCAAAGGGGCTCTACATGCTAGGTTCAAGGTACGATGGGTAGGTGGGGGGGGGGGGGCATGCCGCAAGAGAGCCTTTGCATACCGGATCCGATGAAACCCAAACCCACAGTGGATCCTCAATCCTACCCGGGGCTTTCCGAAAATTAGGGGTACCTTATTTTGGGGTCCTTACAATATGGATCCTACTAACTACTATTTAGGGTACTATTTTAGGGTCCGCTATTTTCGGAAATTCCCACCTACCTTTTGGCCATTGGAGCGGAAATATAATCCTACTATAGTCAAAAGGTTAACCTGTTTTGGGCTAGGGTACTCAGCCCCTAAGTACTTAAAGCTTGTGAACCCCAAGGCGCTACAACCCCAGGTTCTCACGAAGCGGTTGCAGAAACCCCCTCAAAAAGCCCGAAGAGACCCCCTTCCAGTCATAAGCCCGCCCTAAACCCTAAACCGTCCTCATTATGGAGGATCATGGGGTTTAGCAAATAGACTTCGAAGTACCTCAATCGGGCTGTAAGTAGACTAACCATCTGTCTTTCCCTTACTTGTCACGCTATAAGTTATAAGTAGTTTAAAGCTAACAATACCTTTACTTGTAACCCTGCTTACTAATACTATGTCCCTGATCCTTTAAAGTATTATAGGTCCCATATACCAAGAGGGTCCATCTATGCTACCATGATGGAACTAGGTCCCAAAAACCATAATATATAAGGATGGTCTTTCGGGACCTTCCAGAATGGTAGGTAGTGTATATGGACCCTCTGAGATAGACCCTAAACCCTAACCTTAAACCCTAAACCCCTACACCCTAAACCCGAAACCCCTAAACCCTAAACCCCTAAACCCTAAACCCTTTATCGAACCCCTAAAGGAGCCCTTAAAGGAGCCCCTGGAGCCTCTAAGAAGAGCTACAGTTGATGATACAAATCCATAGCAATACCTTAAGGACCCTAAACTATGGGAATTATGGTATATTCCTTATTATGGGGTAATGCAGGATTTATATCATCAACCGACTTTCTCCAACTAGAAACCCCATAGAAACAGACCTTAAGAGCTTAGAGCTTCATGAGGTTGATAGGGGCATAGGGGTTTAGAGGTTTAGGGGTTTAGAGGTTTATAGGGGTTTAGGGGTTTCGAGGTTGAGGGGCTTAGTGTTTGGGGTTCTGGGGCCTCATACCCAGAGCTTCCCGTATACCCCGTGATTAAGGAATATACCTTAAATCATTTTAGGCACCCTACTATCACTTAAAGTATATTCCCAAATTAAGGAAAACCCTAAACCCTAAACCCCTAAACCCCTAAACCCTAATAAAGTGATATTGGAAGGTCGGGGTATAAGGCCTTGGAGCCAAGTTCCCCAACTGGGGGACTGAGGCTCGAGTTCATCGCACATGCCTTGGGAGTGAAGCCTGGCGACAAGGCGTCGAATTTGGCTTAGGGCTATGGGGCTGTCGGGCGTCGAGTTTGGGGACCCTGTTGCGGTTGTTGGGTTTAGGGGCTTCAGGGGTTTTAGGGTTTATGATGTTTGGTTTAGGGCTGTGGCGTGATCATCTTGTCTGGATCCTTGAAAAAACACTCCCAAAAAATGCCAGGAGCCGTTGTCAACAGCTTCTGCAATGCTTTTACCAACGTCCAACCGGATCTTATTCTGCAAAGGCCCCGAAGCAAAGCGTGTTTGACAAAGCAGGGTTTAGACAGCTATATGAGTATGCCCGGCAGGAAACCCATGTATACACTGACCAACCAACACTCTTCCGGAGCCTTGTGTACACCCACCAAACTCCTACTAACCACCTTACCCATAGGCTCCTTAGTAGTTCCTTGTTGGGATTGCTTTATAGGATTCTAAATATCCACCACGAAAAGGAACTACTTAGAAGCCTATGGGTAATGTATCATTCTCATTTGGACTGGAGCAGGCCACGAACATCCGTAAATCAGTAAAGCGTCAACCCTCAAAGCCCTAACAACCCTAAACGCTTAAACCTCCAAACCGCCCTCAAACTACAATCCCTCAAGCCCCTAAGCTTTCGGATCCTCAAGCTCTAAACCTTAAACCCTAAACCCTCAACCCTACCTGGACCCCAAAGAACCTACGTTGTTAAGGACTTATATAAATAAAGAAATCATAATAAGGAACCCCTAAACAGGCAGGTTTTATAGGGTTAGGGTAAGCCCTGAACCCAAACAAAAAACAACTTAAACCTTAACCCCGTAAGCCCTCGGAGCCCGAAGCCGTGACATGACCCTTAGATATAGGATAGGGCCGGATAGGGGCTTATTTAGGGTTCAGGTTTAGGATTTAAATGTACATGTGTGGTTTAGGGCTTAGTTTTAAGTATATGGTTTAGGGCTGAGGGTTTAGGGGTTAAATGTAAGTATGTGGTTTAGGGCTTAGGGCTTAGGATTTTGGTGGTGTCTTTTAGCATTATGGTTTAGGGCTTGAATTGGGGTGTACCTGTAGTCTCCATTGTAGTTCCTTTTTTTGTTTAACCAATTTCATGTTAAGGATTCTAAAAGGTAGCCCCACGAAGGAACTACAATGGA